TTTTAATAATTATATGATTATTAAATCTTTAAGTTTATTACTAATTAATAATTTACTTAATAGCCTGATTTCAAGTTCAGCAGTTATGAACTGCTTTAGGTATTTGGCAGTGGCAGGACCGGCAGGCAGGTGCGTGCGCGCAACCTCTTGCTTCCCTTTTGTTTTCTTTTCCTCTCCTACCTTTCTCTCTCTTTTCCTTTTTCTTTAAATTCATCATTGTCAGTATTTCTGCTCCCCATCCAAAAACAACAGCAGCAGAAGCCGCAACGATGAACAACCAAGCTCGTGGTAACAGCCGCAGAGGCCAATTCCGACGAGGACGCGGTCAGTATTTCATAGGAAACATGGGCCATCCTCAAAATGGAGGTTTCCCAGGGCAAGCGCCCGTCCCTTTCCCTCCTCCTCCCCCTCCTCCTCCAGTTGTGGCATATCCAGCGTATGGACAAGTCCCTTATGCTATGCCGCCGCAACCGTACATCTACCCTCCCTACGCTCCGGTGATGTACCAAAACTCGGTGCCACCGGGATATTATCCTTATGCGAATCCTGTGCCTGCATACGTGCCTCCGCCCCCACAGGGTCAGGTGTATCAAGCAGCTCAAGCCCCAGGCCAATACCATGGTCCAAGTTTGAGTCGCCGCCATCGCGGTCGGGTTCAAGCTCGCGGCCGGGTTAATGGCAGAGGTAGAAGGGGACAGCCAAATAGACGTCAGGTAGGCCGCGAAAATAGCTCAGCGCGACAAGCAGCGCAAGTGGCCCAGGAGAGATTACCTGAGGCTGGAGTTGCGCAGAGAAATTCTCTTGCAGCTCTACCAGTTCCATTCGAACAGAATTCCGATCTGGACAGCCGAGGGGTCAAGCAAGAGGATACTGAAGATCAATCCACTCGGGTTGCCCAGAACATTGGGTTCACTGAGATTAAAAGAGAGCCAGTGATCAAGCAAGAGCCCCAATAGATCTTGCTCGTGACTGCTGGACAAGCTGTCGTTGATCAATGAACATGCCATACTCCCACGTATTAGTGGATCTTGTGACTGAAATATTTCCACCGACCATCTGGTTCGGGCATATGCTCAAAGAGCCCCGTTGGCCATGTGCCCGGGACCTCAATATAGACATTATGAGCCCGTTGTGTGTGGCAGAACTTGCAAACACCAGCGACATCGTGGCTACATGCGTTTTCTGGGTTCTCGGAGAATACTCGAGGGCCCACGAATTCTGCCGAAGCGGTCATGGCCTTCGCAAAGGATGAAGAACATGGCCCAAGTAGGCGATTGAACGATGCTTGTCATTGTGCCTTGAGAATATTCGATGGCTCGACGGTAGGAAACAGTAGTCTTTGTTCCATGGCGTACCAGCCTAGAACTGGCGCGCTGACCAAGACAACTCAATTGAGGTCTTGGTCTTTTATTTCACTTGCAACTTGACGTGAGCCTTGACGAGGAACATCGGGGAGTTGCAGGAAATAACCCGGAGATTCGCAAACATCACCTCAACCATGAACACATGGTTAATGCGCGTATCGGTCATTGAATCTTATGATTGGATACAGGGTGTCGCATTTTGCGGAGACCCCGCACGCCATCGCGGGCCAAAGTGATGTGACGGGGAGTACCGATAACTTTATTGGACACCCGTGGTTGACGAGATCAAGTTACCTTCTTTGCACAGAATGGCGTGCTTCCAATTTCTACAGCTGCAACCAAGGAAGATGGTCGGAACTTGACCCTTTCCGAGGTGCATTCTAGTGTACTAGCGAGGGAACAGAGTTTGTTCCTTGCACTATCATTTCGCGGATTGGCGGGATATGACACTTCTGCCCTAAGTCACTACAGTCGATAGCACCAATATTCCGGAAAAGAGATATCCGCTGTTGAACATTAACCCTCAGTGAATTGGAATGTCGGCTCGCCAAGTTCTCCAAATACTCTTCAACAGCACTGCGAAAACCTGAAATGAAAGCGGCTTGCGTCCAATGTCGAGTCCGAAAGGTATGTACAAACTTACTCCCCGGTACTCGGTCGGTACTAACTCCTGAAGGTCCGATGTGACGGCACAGTTCCTAAATGTCGTACCTGTGAACGACTCAACTTTCAGTGTTCCTTTGAACAGGATGGCTCCAATGGCCAGTCTGCGCCTCGTATACCGCCAAAATGTCGTGGCGCGAAAGCCTGTCAGGAATGTCGGGCAATGAAGGTCCGATGTTCTGGCGATGTTCCGAAATGTACCAATTGTACAAGGCGAAATAGACCGTGCACATATGTCTCAAAAGCTGGGTCATCAACAACGGAAGCCTCGTCGTCTCGAGACGACTCGGTGTCCGTGACAACATCTCAGGATGCTATTTCACCCAGAAAACAACGACCAAGTATCGCTTCAAGCTCCCAATCAATCCCCTTTGACTCGATAGAAGAAGGACCGCCTCTCATTCCTGACGATGCGATAATATCGCTCGTCAATCAGTACTTCGAGCGGCTCTATCCCCTATCTGCTTTCTGCTTCCTCCACCGAGCCACAGTCATCCAAAGATGTCACGACAAGACCATCGATCGAGCGCTTCAGTTGGCCATTTGCTCTATCACGGCCATCTACTTCGACCAATGTCAAGGCGAGCGTGATGCATGGGCTGGAGAAGCTGAGCAGCTTATACTCGACCGGCTCGAACAACCTTCCATTTTCAAGATACAGGCGTCCGTCCTCCTAATACGATATAGGGCCGCTGTGGGACAGTTCCCCAGGGCATTCATAATGGCCGGTCTTGCAGCTAGATGGGCTGCAGCGATACGTCTCAACTATGAACACTCCAAATTAAGTCCTGTCGCTCAAGAAGTTCGCAGGCGAACATTTTGGTCTCTGTCCTTGCTTGAGGATAGCTTTTGCGTTGGTCTGAAAGAGTTCGAACTTTTTGATGCCGACACGATATACTTACAACTCCCCTGCGAAGACGCCGACTTTCAGCAAGAACGACACGTCCCTACTGGATACTTACAGCCTGCTAAGGGGCTCGAGCCAGAGGTCCTGAGAACGCGGGCAGCGTTTGTGCGGGTGGCTTTCATTCGAAGAGCGATTGTAAGGCTCAATCGACGAATCAACGTGAAAGAGGTCAATCTCCCCGAACTCCTTTCGTCGATGGAAAAGTTCCAGAATGATCTTCTTCGCTTAAGGACCAGACTTGCGCCTTGTGATCAATACCCACCCTCATATACACAAGACATTCGTTTATCACCACAATACTTTGTAATGGTAAGCATTATTTGCATGACGATCTGACTTAGCTAATTTATCTGACTAGCACATGAATTGGCACTTAACCCACTGCGACCTTTACCGAATCTTCCTCACTGGATATCCTGAGACTACACCAGAACCCATGATTGAGGGTATTTCCGCAGCCGAGAAGGAGTTGATGAAAGACAAGTGTCTATCTCATGCGGAACAAATCGTCAAAGTCTTGTCGGACTTTGTGCAGCATAAGGAAGAGAATGAAATACTTGAGTTTGAAGCAGCTATCTGTGCGTACCATGCGGCGAGGCTGGTGCTTTTCGGAACATACACAGGCAAGGACAATACAGGACTGCCCATGCAGATGGCCATCAATAAGGCACAGCTGTGTCTAGATGTCATCACGCGATACTTTGCATTCTCAGAACAACTGAAGTCAATGGTAAGCCTATCCCACCCCCTGAGATTCAAGCCGCTGACATGATGATAGCGACAAGAACTTGAACGAGTTATACAGCAACACAAAGCGTGGCTTGAGTCTTCAGACCACCGCGCCATCACAACAACGACTGATCCAAATCCGGCCCAATCTTCGAAGCTCGCCAAAGATGCATATATCCGCCAGCGACTGGCGATACACAGTCTTCTTCGACAATCCGATTTCGTCGACGACAGTCATGATGCAGCTCCTGCAGCTCCACTTGAAGCAGAAAGTGAGCAGCAATCTCCCGAACAGCAGACGAATTGGGGCATCAGAGACCCCGTTACAGATCAAAATTTGATGTTTGGTCTGCCTTATGGCGGAGGGCTGGATTTAAATGCATGGGCATCGAGTATGGCCGGAAATCAGGACTTGAATGGGCTTTTTACGGACTTTGACGAGCAGTATATGTACTGAAGATGGAAGCATTCTCTGGGGGGATTAATGTGATAAGGAATAATGACACGAAAGTTACTCATGTGCGCCACGTCATCTCTTGCCCAATGTCGGAGTTCGGGCAGTACTCCATCGGATCCCAATCGTAATCATTGATCTCAACATAGTGATTTTTCTTCCCTCTATTTACTGAGAAGCTGTTGTAGAGATCCATTGAGCGGGAGGCTCTAAAATTGGCCGCCCTGGCCTATGGATCCACGACATCCTCAATGAGGTTGTTCGACAGTCTCTAGATGTGTTCGCTCCGTGGCAGGGGTAACAATCGTAAACAAGAGCCGCGCATCCACGAGAAGAGTGAATTGAAGTCCAGCCGAAAGCCAAGACCTCTAGGTAGCATCCTCACTCCCCACTGCCGAGACGCAGGGTCCTCCTCCGCTCCCACGGACCGGGCCGGACGGGGATCAGATACGGGTCTCGGCCGGGGAATATGATCATTGGATTAATAGATGGACTGCAGGATCTTGGAGGCAGGGCACCGATCTGGGGCTCGGTCTGATGCTTGATACTCTTATATTTGTTGTAGATGTCTATAAATATCCATGATCTTTTTCTTATATGAAAATGTGTTTAGTTGTTTATTTAATACTTCCGTTCTACGGAGTACTTATTGAGATTAATCCTCGACAGATAAATAATATCAAGCACTTAACTTTCTTCTTATACTTGGAAAAAGGTTATTAGGTGTAAGGCGTAATTCATCCGTTTTTAGAATCATATGACTTGCTCCTCATTAGTATAGAAGTGCGAGGAATCAGGAACGAATTTATAGACGCTCGTCTCAAAGATTTAAATTTTACGCTTTGTCCATCCGCATGTCTGTATATCTGTGTAACTTCCAGAATGGAAGTGAACAAATACGAATCGCTTGAGTAGATTAGTTTAACAACTAGTATTGTTAGTCTGGCAGCTAAATTGAGCTGCGGGGAAGAGTTGGGGAGTAGGGGAGCTCTCTCAAGCTCTTGCTAGTGCTCGCTGATATCGACTCGTGTGACGTGACCCAGAATATTAAAAGAGGCCGAGAGATAACAATTCAGGTTTGATTCGCTGGCCAAAGTGTCTATTATACCTCAATCGCCGGTGAAGTTCTCTCAGGGGTGTTGGCATCGACGAGCTGGGCCCATCAATAGCGTGGCTAGACCAAGCCTGGTTTCGATGCAGGTTAGATCTCCCTTGCACGCTAGTCGTTTAATGCCTTAATTAGATCTTGTGCATCGGCCATTAGAAAGCTATGAAGAGTTGTTTGTGTGGCTTCGTACATGGTCGAGATTGGCTGATGATCATGAAATTCGAAGAGATTTAAGCCAAGATCAATACCAACATGATCATGACGACCATATTGCTGAGATGTGAAATTGTGACTCAAGGACAGGTTGCACCAGATTCTTCAAAGTATATACGCCCACAGACTATGGACCTCGTCCATCCGTAGACCACCTTGGCCTCAGCATCATTCAACAGAAGGCAGGGAATACGAGCTGGAACCGGGGGATAAAACGATGATATTCCGGGAGTCGGAGCGGCCGTCGGATAAATGACGCAGGTGTTGATTGAATGGCGGTAATAGGACAAGCGTCACCCTGCATATCCGCTAGAAACAGGCGCTAAGAAAGGATTTGCCCATCTTTGCTTCGGTTGATCGCGACCTTGATCAGCTCACTTCGGACCGTCGGTATCCCTGACCGATTGGGTTGTCCTGAAGGAGAGTCTTGCAGTTTCCAAGGATTGAAGGATCGAGATTCATGCGTATAATTCGCTGAACATGACGATAATGTTTGTCTTTTCGCATTCATTGTCTCTTTGTGACCGGTTGCATCGGTCAACAACGTTCAAAAAGTTTGCTTAATCCCGGTCGATTAACCTGGTTCGTAGCGGAGACTATCAAGCCCAAGGCGCCGGGATCGAGCGGGCCTGATCCTTTCTGAAGGCGTCGCTTCTCGGTCCATTCTGTCTCTCATTGGTATCCCCAGGTTTTGCTCACTTGTCACATCGTCAATAGAGTTACCGATGATGCGTTTTTTCGAAACGTCTTTCTCGGCAGATTCCAGTCAGAGCCTGGACAAAAAGGTCCGGAAAAATTCTGCGAGAATCAGACGGAGAAATGGATTGGCTGGTTCGGACATATCGCTGTAATGCTGTGTAGCATCAGGTGCCTGATTGATTTTTGTTCCCCGTTTCGTTTCGTTAGCTTAACTGACTCGTGTATCCGTAATCCTTCGATCATAGCTTGGAGGGAGCTCTGCTCTGCTCTCTATTTTAGACGCCGATAGATAAATAGCCCAACGACGACGTTTCACGGACCGGGAGAGACAGAGAGATAAAGCTCTCACTGTGAGTATTATGAGCGGTGACACTTTTGTGACGTCCGTGGCTCGCGAATGAGAGAGACTCGGGTACAGCTTTTTCTGCCAAGCAAGCTTAGGTAGGCTGTGGGCCAAATGGCGGTCCACACAATGTCGTTCCATGAGTTTTGTCGCCAGAGACCAGAGAGGTTCATTGATTTGGAAGGGAAGATGTCAATTTGTACGTCAGTTTAAAGATTAATTGCGTGCTTGATTTAGACTTTGACATGTCTGATCTGGGTGAAGATCTGACGTTGCCCATCATCAGATACAGCAGCTTCCACTGTATCAACACCAAATTTTTAGGATGCATACACCCAACCCACCCGTAAACAGACACAGCCAGAAACTGTAGTGTAGGCCATTCCGGTCCCGCTTTCCCACCAACGCAGAACCCGGACCTAGACCCAGAAACCCCAGGCCAGGGCCACACCTTCCTTATCTTACCCACTATGTGCGCTACCTTACCTTCCATCGCGCTACCTACGTACGTACGTTGTTTGTTTGTCTCTTGACTCCCACCCAAACCAAACCCAACCTAACCTAACATCATCATCACCACCTTCGTGACTCAATTTCTTTTTCTACCTGAATAAAAACAAACAAAGCTACAGTCAGAATCGTTTTCCCCACCTCAAGACCCTCGTCGGACTTGACGTTGGTCTCGGTGGATTGCTCTTGAAGCTTCGGAACTCGCTGCTAAAGCTCATATTCATGATCCCCAGTCTTTGAGTCCCTGCATGCGCCTAAAACCTCCCACCTCGTCGCCATGGATCTCGCCTCCGCCGCTGGCGACCACCCGAATAACCTCATTTCCTCCCTCGACTCTCCTCTCCCTGTCCCAAACACTTCCTCTGCCTCGGGCATCCCTCAGCAATCCGTGAACCCATCTCAGACAGCCTCTCACGCCAATTCTCCCGACCGCAAACCCAAAAAATCGTCACTGACCTGCGTCACCTGCCGCGCTCGAAAAGTACGATGCAATGGTGCGCGCGACATCTGCTCTAACTGTGAGCGACTTGGCTTTCCCTGCTCCTACGACGACGGCGACGCTGGTGCCTTGTCTGGCGCTCTGCCGCGTCGCCGAGTTCGACAAGCTTGCATCAGCTGTCATAGTCGAAAAGCCCGATGTTCCGGACACATGCCGTCATGCGATCGCTGTCGCTCCCAAGGCATTGAATGCGTTTACCGACCAAGCAAAAGGGCGCGCATTACAATGAGGGGCGAAGGCCGAAGCCCGCAGAGTCAAGAAGGTGATCGAGAAGATGGTCACAACGACAGCGACCCTGGGTTGACCGACCCGGCTAGTACCGCTACGCCTCAAGGGTTCGCACCTGAAGTGTAAGTCAATCTTGTAGTCAAACCTCTACTGGCTAACAACAGCTGTAGCCCCTTTCCAGATGAATCCTTCGATGCTTTAATAGGCCGGACTTTTAACAAGTTCTTCAACCATGTCCATCACATTCCCATGTTCTCTTTTCTCCATCGAGCCTCCCTTGAAGGACGATACAACACAGGCAAAGTTGAAAAGGCACTTCTGCTGGCCCTGATTGGCATTACTTCGTACCTCACGGATATGGGACCGGGCATGAAGGAATATGGTGAAAGATGTATCGACGATGCTGAGGCTCTCATTTTTGCCGATTACACTCGGCCTTCAACCATCAAAGTGCAGGCGCTTGTCCTGATTATCAAGCATCGTATCCTGTCCAAGAAATCTCCAAGCGCTTTCATGCTGCTGAGTATCGCTTCCCGATACGCCGCAGCCTTGCGTCTGAATCACGAAGCTCCAAACCTTTGTTTCCTCGCCCAAGAGTCTCGGCGTCGACTCATGTGGGCTCTCTACTGTATTGATTCGGGTGTCTCGGGCGGCTATCGTGACTACTCTCTCTGGAGTGCTGATAAGATCCATGTAGGATTACCATGCAATGAGCGCAACTTTGAATTTGATCTTCCACAACCGACCGAGAGACTTATTCATGATCCCGACAAACCTCGAAACCCCCAGGCCGAAGACGTTGGAAGTCTAGCTCTCCACATCCGCATACAGCACATGCGACGACGAATCATGGAATTCTCTCGACGCGTTATGTTGTCTCGAAACACAAAGCCCGATGAACTTCAAGCCGGTATCTGGGGGCTGCAGAAAGACCTGAGTGATTTTGCAACCCATTTACCAGCATCTTTTCAATTTTCAGAAAGCTCACTGCGACTTCGAGCCTACTCTCCTCGAATATGTACATTCATCATGATTCACGTTTGGTGGCATCAATGTCAGATCGACCTTTACCGTCTTGCCCTGGGTGGTTTACGGGAAGCCCTTCCTCGTGTTATCCTTGCATCTCTCGACGATGCTTTTGTCGATCATTGTCAACGACAGTGTGTCGAGCATGCCATGTCAATGGCCAATATCTTCTCATCTATGCACAAACTCAACTCGAAACCTGTAACCGATTTGGATATGGCTATCTGCGCATACCAATGCGCCCGCGTGTTGACATACGCGTATCATACTAATGCTTTGAAATATGACCTCAACTTGGAAGCCGTCATGGAACGGGCAAAGATTTGCCTGTCAACTATCAAGTCCTGCTGCGCGGGAAAGACTGCAGAAGGCATTCA